CACAGCTGGAAGACAGACCAGCTCACTTTGTGTTACTATCATACAAAGTAGATGTTAAAATGTATAAGAAAGTGTTTAGTGTTTAAACTTCATTAAAAACTGGTGGGATGTTGCATGCATAGTTTTCAGTTATCTGCAGCCTGTTATAATGTAATAGCAAACGTTTGCATTGCATCTCTGTAACTAAGTAACCCATCAAACGAGCAGCCTTGTATAATGCAAATGAACTTTCCTATTAAAGTGCTAGTTCGTGTGAATGGTCATTGTGTGGGGGAATCAAAGAGCAAAGTCTAAGTGCATTCCTCTCTTTCCCATCATGAAGGAAAGCTCCCATGTGGGGGATGTCCTGTCTGCTTGGTTTCTGTCCGAAGCAGCTATAAATAGGGACACAAGGAAAAAATAATCTCTGGACTCTTTGGATTCTAACAGGGCAGAATAACCAAATGAGAAGACAGATCTCAGAGTACTCTGGATAGCCCTGAGAGACTGTTAAGAAATTAGCAGCTTAATTTCAAAAGGTGGCAGAGATGTAGTATAAACTGTGACTCACTTGTACATATATTTTTACCTGCTTTAACCTCTCAACTTTCATTCCTTTTTCTTGGCTCATAAACCTTTAGTTAGTTTACTATAGTATGAACTGCCAGCATTGTCTTTGGTGTGAGATCTAGTATGCAACTCAACCTGGGTGAGTGATTAGTCTCTTGAGACTGAGTGTAAGCTGGGTATTTTGTGATTTTTAGTGTAAGTGACCGTTTATCACGTAGTCCAGCTTGCCTGGGTGGCAAGATGGAGTGGAGTGTCTAAGGGGTCTGTCTGTGACTCTATTATAAGACTGTGGTACTTTGGGAGTTCACATTTGTGACTGGGTTGGTGAAATCTAATTATAGAACACACCAGCAATTGGGGTATCTGCCCTGAGGTCGGCAATCTCGGTCGTGAGCCATCCCAGACAGTGTGACAGAAATGTCAGGTAATCTGACATCATTATGAAACGACCAGTGATTCAAAACATATCCGAATAGAATTTTAACATTACATTGCTCTCCCAGGGCAAGTCTCTGGCAAGACATTCTGGGTTTTTTCCTTTTGAAACTTACTGTATGTCATGTCAGCTTGAAAACTGGGCCCTGCACATCATGGTAGCTATTCTCTGTCCTTCACGTTTAGCAACTATCTGCTTCTTCTGCCTCTCACCATCTCTAATTAATCAGAAGCCTGCATACAAAAGCCTCCAGAATTTTAACATCCAGCAAGAAGTTTAAAGTTGCTTTTTTGTTTTAAGACTTTAGTTGGCAGGACTGTCCTTTAAAAAACAAGAAGATGTGGGAAGCTTTTTTTTTTTTTTTAAATGGAGGAGATATCCTAGCTCCTGGAACTGGAAGGGACCTTGAAAGGTCATCGAGTCCAGCCCCCTGCCTTCACTAGCAGGACCAAGTACTGATTTTGCCCCAGATCCCTAAGTGGCCTCCTCAAGGACTGAACTCACAACCCTGGGTTTAGCAGGCCAATGCTCAAACCACTGAGCTATCCCTCCCCCTGAGGTAAAGGTTTACCTATCTGAATAGTGTTTAAGATTGGTCACAGATTTTGAGCTTGTGAGGATCCCTTTAAATAATTTTACCGTAGCCAATAACTGAATTAAGAATATAAGAACGGCCATACTGGGTCAGACCAAAGGTCCATCTAGCCCAGTATCCTGTCTTCCAATAGTGGTCAATGCCAGGTGCCCCAGAGGGGATGAACAGAACAGGTAAATCCCATAGACCATTCCCAGCTTCTGGCAAACAGAGGCTAGGGACACCATCCCTGCCCATCCTGGCTAATAGCCATTGATGGACCGATCCTCCACGAACGTATCTAGCAACTAAATGTAAAAGGGCTTTTCTGATTGACCTCAGATATTCCTGCTATGAAAAAAGTTATAGTCAAGACATTACACTCTGAACATTTAACCCCAGCATACATCACAGTTGTTACCAGTAGCATAATCAAAGTGGGAATTTTATATATGCAATTCCCAAGATAAATACGTTGCTTGACTATTAGCATTAACAGCTTTTTTTTTTTCTTCCCCTCTAATACTTTATATGGACAATTATTCCCCAGAAAGAAAAGTTGACATTAACACAGGCATGGCCAGTATCTTGCAATCTGAGCGAGGTCAGAAGAGGAAGGATCGTGCAATGTAAAAGTGAAGTGCCCAACCTCACTATTAAATAAGTGGTAGTGCAGCCAATACCAAGAAAGTCTAGTCCACTTGAAAGTTTTATTTTTAAGTGTTTTTTAAACATCTGCCTTCTCCATACCCTGGGTAAGGACATAATTATACTCAAAAGAACATTTTTGCTGTCGTCACTTAGTGCGGTTTAGTGACTACAATCCTCATCCTGATTTGAGCTACATTTACCAGTTGGGAAGAACTCTAAAATTACTCAAATACCGAAGTGTTGACTTATCATACAGGGACATAGAGAGACTGAATTGTGTAATACCTGGAGAGAGATTTTAGTTCACATGTCAGGAGTCAAACAAATCCCAGGTAATACTCCACCATCCACCCTTTAATCACCTTTGGCAGCAGGAAATAGCTGAACACATTTAACAATGGTTTAAAAATATTGTTAAACAGAATAAATATTGCAAGCTTAAAGTAGCGATAGCATCAGATGGACAAGCTTGTAAATAATGGAACAATTTTTGCTACACCTGTGCAACAAAGGAAGCCTAGTAAATTTGTTCTTGACATTTCATTATGTGACAAAGAAAAAAATGGGTAAATGCTAGAATTATTCAAGCTCAGGGCTGATTTCTTTGTCAGAGGACAAGCAGGTGTTCACAGACCAAACATAACCCCAACAGTTGCTTGGTGTTGCTCCAAAAATACACACAGGCACACACACACACACCTCTACCTCGATATAACGCTGTTCTTGGGAGCCAAAAAAATCTTACTGTGTTATAGGTGAAACCATGTTATATCAAACTTGCTTTGATCCACTGGAGTGCGCAGCCCCCCCCGCGAGCACTGCTTTACCACGTTATATCAGAATTCGTGTTCTATCGGGTAGCGTTATATCAAGGTAGAGGTGTGTGTGCGCGCGCACACACACACACACACACACACACACACACACAGAGCGAGAGAGAGCACGTGCTTTATATAAAAATTGCTTTACTTGGGTGAGTAGTTTCTACTGAAGCATATGACATGCAAGTAAAAGGGAGTAGCTTTTGATCCTATATCACTTTGAGGAACGCATTTTTAAAAAAATTGGCTTTTATATCGTAAGGTCTGAAATAATGCTACACCAGAACAGACCTACATTCAAGAGAGAATTAGGGACATTGATAAATGCTGCAGACATCAGTAGTTTATTGGTATGTTTAGTCAAAACACATTCAAGAATGGAAACTTAAAAGTAAAAATACTTTCCACCTGCAACAATTAACTAGATTCTACTAGCATATAATGCTTAACACATTACAGCAATAAAGATGGTAATCCACTGTCTTTTATACCTACTAAAGCCAAGATGGCAAGCCAAGTTTGTTGAAATAGGATTGTAATGATAGAATACTACCACCATCCACAAATCAGCAACTAACAGTAATGGTCAATGAATCCGTTACTTTGCTTTAAGAGGTACATTTACTGAAAAAGGGACAAGAACATTAAGAGTCCACAGTACAGTAGGTGAACAATCACCATGTAAACTTCTGGGTATGATGTTCCATTATCTTTATTTCATGGCATTTAAACAAGAAGCCAGCCAGAAATTGAATGGCTCAGTAGCTCTTCTAATTGTCAGTTACACTTTTCCCAGTGCTATTTGCCATAACAATTTAGAAGATGGCAGGGCGATGATATAGCACTAAAATTTTAAAAAGCTACACGAACACTGGTGGTAAACTGTTTGCTGAAGACAGCAGTTTGACTAAAATCTTCAAACTTAAGTCAAGTTATGTTTTGTGGTGAGGAGTTCAAGTACTATGTTTCCAGGTAACATCTGAAAATGCAAGAGTAACAAACTAAAATATAAAAATGGAAACTGAGCAATGTGTCCCAGAAAACGTATGGAAATAGTGCAAGACTTACCCTCAAACATGGAAGACCTCAAGTTTTGGGGAAAAACAGTCAGATGCAATCTTGCTTTGCCTAATACATCAGAAACAAACATGTGCAACATCTTCCAGCTTACTTGAAAACCACAAACGGTTGTACGATCCAGAAACAAATCGTTACTATGCCATATTTGCTACTAGTTGCAATGTGATGAGGTCTTCCATGCTTAGAAGCAGCTTTTAAGTGGTCACACTCTCACCCCCTCCCCTCCTGAAGCATCAGAGCTTGGTGCTTGCTGATCTCTCCAGCACGGAGTTAGACAGTATCGTTTGCTACATTTGCAGTTTACTGGAACGTGCATCTAGGCAGACAGTAATCCAGAAATAGCAAACCTCTCACAGATTTAAAGAATCTATAAGTAAAAATACATAAAAGGATGTCTCCCCCTACCCTTAAGTTCAGAGCCTGATGGGTGTCGACATCAGTTCAAAGATTTGTGCAAAATGAGTAAGTTCAAAAAAACTGGAAAATGCAAATACTTAGAGCTGCTGATCTGTTCTCTGAAAATTGCAGTATCGTCATTGAACAAGCTTACCCTCAATCTATAGATGAGCATACATTAGAAGTTGGCAAAGCGTACCAAGTTCTTAGCTGACTTTTGAAGCGTAACTGAAATTTCACCATAAAAATTCTACATTTGATAGAGAAAAGACAATCTGGAGACTACTCAGTTACCTTCTCCCTCCCTTCCCCTCCTCCATAAAAAGCCAAAGTTGTTAATTGAAGAGCGAGGCGAGTGATATTCTAGTAACTTACTGATTTAAAGATACTGCAATTTTTTATACAACTTTTCAATGATTTCTTTTAAACATTTTGCAGCTGTTTGGCTTTGCAGCACTGCAATTCATACACTATACTGTACAAAATCACCAGCAAGACTGGAATGATGTATTAATAGAAGGCACCATCATGCTTATTACATTACTAGAGAACTCAAATACAGTAAAGACAATTCACTGTACAACGCTTAAAGAAGGGGAAAGGGGAGGAGGAGTGTGTTGAGCAGCCAGCCATCCCTGTATTGAAGAGGGGCAGGTAGAAAAATCTTAGATATGAGCTATCAAACTTGTTTTGTACTCAGGACCATAACTTTGAAGTTCTGGATTGTGTTTAGTTTACCACTAAATGGTTTCCTTCTGGAATATACTTGTAGTCTTGTTAAGGTTTGTGTGTATACATGTTGGTCACAGCAAGCAGATCAGATGCCCGCATCATTTCAAAAGCTATTCTGTCTGAAAAAAGATGAAGGATTTTTTTCCTGATGCCTCTTGTAGATATCAATGTGAATGAGTTTAGAGTACCCATTAGTGCATTTTGATGAGTGCATAAACACAAGTTAGTTAGTCTGTTTTGAGCCAAGTGTTCTAAAAAGAAAAAAAAAGGCAAGCTTCTCCAATTGCACAGATTGCACTAACTGCGTTTCCAACAGTAATAAGCAGAAACAGTAACACTTACACAAAATGTGCAGCAGAGGGTTTTTGACTGAAAGGACCTGAATTCGATTGGGCATGTCCTTTAGTCCACTTTTGTTGCAGATAGTTTTATGGTCATTTCTCTGTCCTTAATTCGCCAAGTCTAAATTTATAAATTAACAGTGTGACTCCTGTTGTGAAATTTGGGAAAGCATGTCCACCTCAATTTAACTGGTAACCAAAGGATGCTTTTCACATCAAAGAAATGATCAAAAAGGCTGTGTCACATTCCAAAGCCAAAAAAATTAACAAGAATGCAAACACGACGAATAATGTACCACTGCCAAGACTGTCTGCCAACAGTGGAGGATTTCAACGACGTTGTCCTGTGAAACGGCCTTCCATTTGCCCGGTTCCTCTTCCAGAGCCAAGTTTCTGTGCCATGCCACCCCGGGGAGGAGGTCCTCTTCCATCACGGTCCCGCATCATTCCACCACCCACTATTCCACGGGGACCCCCGGGCCCTCTATCATTGCGCCGAATATCCCTACGATCATCACCACCGCCTCGGGTCTCTCTTTCACGGGCAGCTCTCGTTTTTTTCTCTTCTACATTCAAGCGCACCTCTCCTCGAAACATAATGGGCTTAGAAGGGGAAAACGTTTACAAGGCAAAGTTAATCATTTCATAAAGTCCCAGCAATATAAAACACGTGGAAACAGTAATCCCTACATGCTACTCTGTCCTTAGCAGCGCAGTTGCACACAGCTTAATGCCAAATTTCACTAGCAGTTTGTGACTTGCAACTTCTAACCCTACATATCTGTAGAGACCATAGAACACTCTGCGATAGGTTAGTAAAATACTTTGATTAGGCAAGGAATTAAAAAGGTCTGGGACTTGCTATGGTCAGTGCCACAAAACCACTGCTAGCTTGCAAGAGTAGCAATTTTACTTTCAGTTCTCAAACTATTAGGACTGAAAACTTGCCATCCCTAAAGGAAGCTGAGATCTATTGACCCTGGAAATTTTGTAATTTCCTTTTTCCCCCAATCCCACCACTTCAGTTCAAGTTTAGCTTGCTCCCTTGAGAAACCTTAGATCTATGATTTAGTGATGAAAGTAGTGCTGTTCAAAAACTTGGAACTTGTAAGCATCCATCAGGAGACAGCAACTTCTAAAGAACAGAATTGAAGTGGGAACCAGAATAGGCTACAAACAAAATATAAACGTTCATGACCTCGATCAGTGATCAGAGGGGAAATCTGAACTCTGGTGAAGAGCAGTAAGAACTGAGGACATTGCATCATTCATGTTTTCATAGCATTACTTCCCTCACTATGACAAATATGCAAATGCTACATGGCCAAACTTACTTTCGCAACTAAGATTCTCTGAACTGGCTCAGAGTCATCAAATACCACAAAGCCAAAGTTTGGTAGTTTTCCTCCAACTCCTTTGGTATTGATGCGAAGTTCCACCACGTTTCCAAAGCCTGTGAAAGCACAATACAAAAACAAGTTATGCAATAAGGCCTTGCAATAAGCCTATTTGTTTTAGTTATTCTCAAAAGCCTTTTGTAATGTTAAAGTTTGTTACTTTGCTTTTAAAACGTTAACATATACCATGTTCAGTGGCTGAAGCGTCACTTCCATCCTCTAGACCCAGTAGATGAATTTCAAACTATTTAAAAGCCCATCACTTACTCATAAAGAATTCTTTCAGTTCATTTTCATCAATATCATGTGGCAAGTTGCCAACAAAGAGCTGATGGCTGTCTGGGTAACGAATTATTCGGCGATTATCGGATTCATTCTGCTCCATATCCCCTCGACCTGTGTCCATCCAAAACAAAAGCAGTCAGTTTTAGGATTTGTATTGAACAATTTGAGAAGAACATCTAGCAACACACTGATCTGCTTTCAGTTCATTCACTTGAGCCATTCTCACCCTTGGTCTTCAGCTATTTTCTGCTGGGGAAGGCATGCATATTTAGTGCCTTTAAAAGTTTAATTCTGCCCAATTGGGATATCGAAAGCTTCTTGTTTTCTTCACATACAAGCCATGTCACTCAGCTATGTGCTTTTCAAGAGAAACACGTCCACTGAATATACTTAATTTTTCTCATGTGCTTTTAATCTTCATGGAAAGTGCTGAACTGCCAGCTGCAGAGACTTATCTGAAGACGACTGCACTGGCAGCAGCCATGCAAGCTTCCTCATCAGTGAATCTCAATCCTGAACTGGAGGGAACAACTCCAAGTGTCAGAAAGTAAGTCTATCTACCTGCTCAGTGGGAGACTCTGCTAACATTACCATCAGTCACCTCCTTTGTCCATACCACCAAAACTGCAACATCTATCCACTGGGAGCTGAGATCCAACTGGTTTCATACATCATCAAAATAAAACCTGTTAAAAAGTAAGCATACTTCATGACTGCAACTACTCTATCTTCGTAACACTCTGAGAGCAGGGGTCAACACTGTTCACCACCAGTTTTTAAGATGAATGTGCATCTCATTGTACCTTTGGAAGTGTAAGTTACCTGTTCACTCCTGCCCAAAAACTGGAAACCGTACACAGAAAAAGATATTAAGCAACAGCCCACTCTGAACACCCGTGGGAGTTTCTTAAAAAGAGTGAGGAAAGCTTAAAGTTCATGATAGGTTATTGTCTATTATTTTCCAGAGTCTCAGACAAAGTTACCAAGCTACCCTATTTAAAAAAGTTAGCCATTTAAGACATTTCTGGTAACCTTTCAAATGAACTGAAAAGCCAGCATTTACTGTATATTTTCAACCATTTCTTCTAGCCCTCTTCTTTCATCATGACTGTTCAAAGGAGGAGTACAGCTTTGAAAGTTAAATGTTTTGTTATCTATTAGTGGTGGCAAGACTTCCAGTTACTTCACTTCAGCCCAGACAGAATATATATTCATTTATGGCTGTCAGACTGCATTAAACAGACATAACCCACACCCCCATATAAAAGTTCACTGATGTTATTGAGCTATTGAAAAGATTGGACCAAGAGTGAAGGCATTCCCATTGTACTGTAACAATTTGGATGCATTTTTTATTATCTCCATGAATGCAATATAAGGTTTAACTAATGGGAGATATAAAATCTTAGCCTGTATCATATTACTAGGTCATTGTCTGGCTCTGCATCTTCTGATATGACACAATACCAAGATTATCATTCCTTTCCATTTTTCAACAATAATTGGCAAAAGTCTTGAAATTTTTCCCCTCCGTGATTTGATTTACAGAACCTTGCTGGATTGTTGTAGGATTTTTCATTACAAATCATATTGTATACAAGGGGAGTTCAGAGGACAAACTTTACTTTGTATTTAAGCAACTTCTCAGCTGTTGGCACTGTAGTGTTTGATTCAGATATCCAAGAGTTCTTGCCACTCTCCCTGTAAGGTTGTTCAAGTTTATTTTCCCTATTGCATACAATAGCCTCTAGGATGCTTGAAAATGAAGTCTCTCTGCTAGCTGTGTCTTTTTCCAATTTGCATTAGTTCACGTTTTTATTGCAGCTTGCAGGTAACACTGCTTTTACTTTCTTGTTGTACCAACTGCCATTAATATGTGGAATTTGTGTTTGTTAGCTCTGGCAGCAAAAGTTAAACAGCACAAGATAGTTCCTATAGCTCCTAAACAGTGGTTATGTATTAGGTATCTTACCTGAGTTTTAAATGCACTGGATCAATCCCCCTGAATTTTGATATCTTATTTTTCTTCAGACAGGCAGCTGACAGAACAAGCTTCTGTACTGTTGCATTTCAACCCCTATGTCTATCTGTAGCTAAGATAAGTATTTGCCGTGCTTTTTAACTCCCTAGTCTCTTGACAGACTGTCAATACATTTCCCAACCAAAGTGGCTGTGACATGGATATAAATGTCTACTAGAACTTGAGACCAGCTAATAGCATATATCCAAAATAATTAACACGCCATAGCAATCAGTTATACTATAGCAACTACCGGTCAGTGTCAAGCTTAGGCTGAATGCAAAGTAGTGACAGATGGTAACTTTCATCTATCCCAGTATCCTGAGACGTTTAGTTTCCAAAATTCCAACTTTTACGATTACTCAAACAGCAAGATGAAAAGTCAGAACTTTAGTAAGGTTTAGTTGCAGTTAAGTCATGGGATAGCCAATATGCACAATTTAACAACTCTATTTTGCCTAGACTTAAAACCTCTATGAAATTTTAATTTTTCAGCCCTTGGTACAGATCAAGTCTTTAAAAAAGGAAATCTGATTTCTAACGGGCATTAGAATATTTTCTAGCCACCTTAAACACATTTAGTTTCAGTGCTGTTGGAAGCAAGGGAATAATCACACTGACAACAGCCACGAGTAGGAAGTACTTCTAACCCCGGAGTAGATTAGAAAGTTTGGTATGTACATTCATCTGGTGTGGTTGCACAACGTCAACAACTGCGTAGATGCTAATATAGATCTGTTTCAGGAAGGCTTGCTTCCACTAAATCTGAGTTGCATCCATTTAAGCCACTTTTGAGAACCGTTGTCTGGTCTATGCTAGCACTTAAAAGTTTTAAAACTCCACCCAACATTAAAGTTCTCTTGTATAATGTTTAATTCCAGGCCTTTGATCAGAGCTAATCTATTGTTGCAAGGTGCAGAGAGCTTCTCTTAACAGGTCAAATCATTTCTCTTGATCTTTGCCAGAACTTGAATTTTTATATCCAGAAATTGAAGTGAAATCCTATAGGGTCACTCACCCACTGTACACTACTGCACCGTTCACAATTGCAAGTTAACATACACAGATCAAGCTGCACACAACTTTTGAGGTGTATCCCCATGAACAGATTTAGATGTAGTACCCAGCTCAAAATGGGTACTTAATGAACAGTGCTGATCAAGCGTTGACCGGGATGTATTAGAAGGACTGCTTATGTTATTTATACATTGACAGGTGTAAAATGAGGCAGCAAAAACTGAGCAGTATTTGGGAGGTAACACCATCTCAAAGACAATACTATGTCCTGAGAAAAGCTATAGAATAGAAAAGAATAGAATAAATGGCATGGCATTTGGCACATGACATGATGCATGATCAAAGACATTTTGTTCAGAAAGGAGAAGCACATTGTAAAAGATAATGGAAGGTATTTAAGTGCTCCCATTCTGTCTGTTCAACATGAGTTAGAGGACATTCAAAATTAAGAAGCCATCAACTTTTAGCCTCAAGAGAACAGAGTTTTTAAACCGCATTAAGCAATCTGAGGAAGTTCCTTGATGTATGATACGAGCAAATAACTCAGGAATGTTAAAAAAGGATTAGATAAAAGGAACATTTGAAGTTAGAGGGATGATCCTCATGCTTCAGAGCAACTCATCACAAAATACGGCTCAGGAAAGGGTTCATTCCTCCACCCCTAGTTGCAGAGAATAAAGGATTTTCACTTTCCTAAAGGTCAGGTACAAGCCAACACTAGAAGCAGGACATCAAACAAGATGGATCAAAGGTCTGTTTGGTTGGTACAGGAAATCCTACACCAACCAATCATGGGAAGTTATCCTTTCGAATCCAAAGACAAAAGATACATCGTTTCTCACCTTCACACACTGAACTATGATAAAGAAGAAAAGTTTACCTGGTCTCGGTCCCCTTGGCGGAAAACCCGGTCGCTCCCTTGGACGCTGTTCACGCACACGGGGTGGCTGAGACTGAGCTTCAGGTTTAGTTTCAACTCTTGGCTGAAACAAGAGAACACACTGTTCAACACCGGATACCAAAGAAAAGCTGAAATAAAAGCAGTCTACAGATCACTAGCATGCATAGCAACAATCGTGGAAGATACATATCCATGGGAAGAGTGTTTTGGGAATACATGAAAATTTTCTACAAGTTCCTCTGTACCAATCCAGGACTGCAGGGCTTGCCTTTCTCTGCCAGCAGGTAGAGAACACAAACCTCTCAGAATCAGGACTAAGATCTCTCTTTCTAATCTTATTTTGCCCAAGGGCATAGCTAGAGGGAATTATCTTCAACTGACCAGGCACAGAATTGAGACCCAAGTAGCTCCATAATTTTACATATCAGCAGGTGCTCAAAACCGGTACAAAGAAATATGCAGAAATCCAACTAAAAAACAGAATTTCTGCAGCATTTCCCGTGCCACGCTTGGACTGCACAGACTAGCCTTAGATTAATATGTTTGGAAGAAATAGAATTAGTGTTACTGTCTGCCTGGAGGATTCTTCTTCCAGAATATACATCAACTACAGGTAACAGCCACATTGTAACAGGAAAAGAAAGCAAGTTCACAAATCTCTAAATACAGTCTTCTCTCAGAAGGAGATTTAAGAGAAAATACCTTAGATAAAGAGTCCTACAGTGCACAAGTTAGACATCTTCCTTTTATTTCTCTATGCCAAGCCTGTGCACATGGGAGCACACACAAACTGTCCCACTAGTCATAAAAACCTCACACCTTGAGCCATTAAACACATACAAATGTTCGCCAGCATCTGCATACAAAAACTGCCCTCAAAAAGGGGTAGGAAGCTACAGAACAAGAAAGTTAGGTGACTGAAAATTTACTGTGTGTGTTATAGAAATTGCTATCATCCACAAGCATTGAGTTCACTTGTACTAACCAAACAAATGCTACCACCACAAAGACCACATTCCTGTCATCAGGGTCTCAGAGATGAGCTTGCAGAACTAAAATCCAAAAGGGGTGTTTCACTAAAGGAATGGTCATAGGCACCATTCAGCAGTTCAAAAGCAAGTGACATTAAGGAGAGATTCCCACCACTTTTCCTTTGTAAACAAACTACTGAACTAGGTGACTTAACCCCAATATTTGTGCTCAGAGAAGATTTTCTGGGAAAGATTACCTATTAAGTGCCCAAATATTACACTGAAGACTAACCTTGCACCCTTCCTACCACTGAAGTGGCACCCTACCAGGCACTTCCTCTCCAATATTTTTAGACTGGGCATTTTAATTATGAGAATTAGAAAAAATAAATAAAAGCTTGTCTGAGTGTAGCACTGGCATCTATCTACTTCTGCAGCAGCACCTCTTGGGCCACAATAGCACCATTGTGATATTTTATTTTCCTAAAGTTTTAATGCGTAAAAAGTTATACAAATAAAAGCAGCTCATAACAATACATGGGAGCTAGAAAGGCAATCACAGATTTTTCTTTTCTGAACAGCAAGCTACCCTGCCCTCAAAATTACTAGATTTCATTCTTTGGGGGTCTCAAGAGAAACAGTCTATCTGCTCAATCATTCACCTCAGATGCCTACTTAACACAACAAGTAGAGTGTGTCTATCCAAAGAAACAGAGGGCTAGCCTTACTAGACACCAGTGCGTGGTTTATGATAAGTAGACCAGCAATACCAAACTATCAGCCTTCTCCAGCACAAAACATACAGACTGCCTCAATTTTGTACACACCTCAAAATTAAAGAGTCCAAGCTCGCAGGGCAACATTGGAGAGCGTGTGCGCTCCTGCAAACTAGCATCCTACCAAACTGTGAGGGGATAGTACTGCTCTTGGAACGGAGAACTGCTTGTTCCATCCACCAATCTCCCTCAGACCTCTGTTTCCTGGAAAGTGCATGAACGACACTGGAAGCCACAGAAGAATATTTCTACAGCATGCCTAAGAGAGAGGGGATACATCCCTCTCCCCTTGGAACTGTAAAATGATTAGCAAATAATTGGTTTCTGGTAATGCCCATGCAGCATATTCGTAAGTCTGCAGTTGTTTGAGCCTTTGGGCATAGACTCTATAGAAGATGAAATGCCTCCATTCTCCCAGAATCCACAAGAGGAAAAATGAGGACTAAAGAGGACCGTCTTCTGCTACTGTGATTGTCATCTTGCTTGAATCCCAGAGGCAAAAAGAGCACAAGAAGCAAGCCCACAAGACTTACTTGCCCTCAAATTTTAACATTTCATGTGTCAAAGACACACATTACTCAAATTGGACCATATATATGGAAAACTGAATGGATCTGCTTTGGAAGAGTTCTATCCCTTGACGTTTAAGGTCTTTCCCAGACGGTGAGATGCCTGCCACACTGTTACTGCAAAAGGAAGATAATTAGATGGGATACAGATAAGAAGAACCTCAGCTTGATACAACATTGTCTCCATGTTGACTTCTGTGAAATCACTCACTTTGATTTTCACCAATAGACCACAGGAAAAAGTAAGCCACACAGAGGCCTAGACTTCTAATATTGATCCAAGATTCCCCCTGTGGCCTTGTGGTTTTAAGATATTCATTGAGCCAGACAACGGATAATCCCTAAACCCAGAAGAACTAGCCCATTTTTCAGATTTACTCATCTGTCTAGAAAGATTAACTCTGCATCCTTAGAATACTCAGAAAAATCTCATCCACATATCCTAGTATATACGTCCTCAAGAGGAAGAAGTCATATTCCAGTTTGAAAAGCTTTTAAGGCTTGGTTCTGGAGACATGAAGGCAACAACACTATCAGTCGCCAAAAGAAGCACTGGTTTGAACTCTCAGGATTTCCAAATTAAATACAAATTAGTGACTATTTAATCCCTTTCCTTGGTAGGTAATCACTGCTTCAACTCAAATGGAAGGCAAGACTACATTTAAGGTCTTGTCATCACTGCTCAGAAGAGACGTGTTTTTACCACACTAATGCATGAGAGCTATCCCATGGTTAAAAACACAATGAAGGCTTGGAAGTTCAGTTTCACTGCAAGGCAAACTAGGCACAGTCAACCACAGACAGGGTATAGTGCCATACCTTCAGTGTGGTTTTTACCTGGGGATGGCTCGTGTGCATTAGTTACTAGGAGGTGAAAAAAAAAAAAAAAACCCAACCCAAATCCACATCTTCTCTTAGCAGTGAAGACATGGCCTATGTTACTCCCTAGACAGATATTCAGCGTTTATCTCTGAACACAAAGAAGAAGGAAAAGGACAAGTGCCTGGCTACTACAGGCTGAATATGACCAGCCCCACAGTAATTCATGGTCACAAAAGTAATTAATCTAAATCTAAAATGGTACTTACTAATTGCCACCTCTTTAGAGAGATATGGAGTCATAATAGGTACTTTATTTGAAAGTTAAGAGTTGGCAGAGGAGAATCCTAGAGTTTCCCCCACACTCATTATTTTGTGGGACTTGTTTAAAAAAAAAAAAAAAGGTCTAAGAACAATCCAAATGGGGGGGCTATGTTTGCATAAACACAAGAGTAATTGTGATGTTGATAGCCTGAAACAAGATAGGGAAAAGGAAATGCTAATGCTTGAAAATGCCCCCTAGAATAAAGTAATTGTCTTTCCCACCAACCCTCCAAGCGCTGATTTTAAGCAGCACATAAGGGAGGCTGGAGAGAGATTTATCCATCTACTTCCCAAAAGAGATAATGGAGTTAAGACTCTGTCTGTAAAAACCTGCTTTGGTCCTATCTGAAAACGTCTGAGCAGACTTACTTGAACACAGAATCCCACTGAAAGGAAACAAAACAGGACATGCCTTTCTTCTGCCATTGGCAAACTGTATATGGAAATACAGTGAAAGATGGAAGGGGACAATGAAACTATACTTGATGGTCTGGCTTCTGTTGACATATGTAAACAATACATCCAAGTGCTCAGATAAAATAAGTGCTCGGAGTGCTCTCTAAACTGAAATGGCACAAGGAAGCAGTCTTTGGTTCTGTATGGGAACAAGCTCACTGTTCTGTGCAAACAAGAGTGGTTGTCTTGACTGCTTATTCTCCCCTCAGTGTGAGGCACTTTAAAACTAACCAGATTTTCCGAGTCATTACAAATCAGGAGTCCGATTTCCATGACAACCGTGTCAAGGAGAAGACAGCATCACAAAAAGCATTCCAGGGGCAGCTAGCAGAAGGGTGATCCTAGCCTCTGTGAGACAGTAAAATGGAGAGAAAACTGGTGGTAGGAGCAGCTGTGACAGTGGTTTCTGAATTGTCCTACTGAAAATTGTGGCCCATTACAGTTCAGAAGTGAGCTACCACAAGTGTCCTCAGGTTAACTCATTAGGTTACTATAGAACATTAACATTTTCAAAATTGCCTCTTATTTTAAGTAAGTTTTTGGATATGTGGAGGACAAGAAATTCTCGGGGAAATGAAATTCTCTAGGAATTTCCCACTGACTAGGTATTTCCTCTTGTCTTTGGTATCTGAATGACGTATACTACTATCCGGTCACAAAAAGTCTGGGAATTGGAAGAGACCACTGTGCTGGCAAGCAAAGGTGAACCCTCCCACCTCTCACAGTCATAAGTTGGTACAGGGTTCCATAGCAGTACAGTTAATCCATATAAATATATAATTGAGGATTTTAATATTTCTTTTTCTCTCTCACTAGGAGAAGCTCTGTTCCTTTCTCAAAAGGAACAATTTCATTTCCCAATGGCAGGGTAACTGGATTGGTAGTTCTGGCAATGAATGACCCCTATTGTACATACTACAATAAAATTACTGTTACATTTAACCTTATAAACAAATAGAATGTCAGAAAATTTAGGAGTGTCATTTCTGGATTACATGTGAACAGACTTACATCTCTCACCACCACCCAGAACTCTCACCTGTTAAGTGTATGTGCCTTTTAATTAATTTTTAATTGCGACATTAAAGTAAGTGCATTAACATTTAAGACAGAACTTGTGCAATTTACGTCATTACAATTTGATCTGTTAGTTTAAAGACTAAAGTAGTTGCAGAGGTAACGAGACAATCCAAGGAGTTCACAGATTGATTACCTGTGAGACTGGTGCTTTAACATGGGGTGGAATTCCAGAGGAAGAAACAGTACCACTAGGAGGCAGGTTTTTACTGGTCACTGAAGCCCAAGAGAAAGCCTGCAGAAATGCAACAAACCTAGGCTACTAATCATGGCAAACCACTGACATTCCTAGAGGGAAACTAGTCTGCTGAAAATATATTTTTGATTCAAATCTAAAGCGGTCAGTAATCATTGTACCAGGATTACAAATATAAACAAACAATGCCAATAAGACAGATATTGAAGGGTTTGCAGTTGTAACTGTCCAATCTCTCCAACAGCGCAGAGCAAGTACTTGTACTCAGGCACACTACCTAACTGAACCCCAGTTCTCTGAATGCCCCCAAACCACCGCTTTCCAAAAGACAACAGTTGATAGACAAAACCGTAACGGCTACGGGTAAGTTTTTGGTCCTAAATTTGTCTTCTGGAGAAAGAAAGAAAGGAGAAGTGGAAGTCAGAAGTTAAAGCTAAATAAGAAAAGAGACCAGGACTGACAGTACAAAGACCCATGCTGAAGTAAGTGACCTCTACCCGGTTTCTGTTTCCTTCCCCCATATCCTTTCACACTAAGTGGGTCTAACCATACCGGACGGCGCATGGTTTTTGGAAATACGGCATCCCGCCTAGAGGGAGACAGCTAAAACCCTCAGATTCATTTTTACAGCTACACTGCTAGTCATCCTGCAGGTGAAGAGGTAACCCCTTTCGTTTTAAAGAAGGGCAGCGACTCCCCCTTAAATTCATTTAGATGTTCTACATCTAACACTACATTTAAAAAGGTTTAAGCTCATAACCACCCACGCGCATACTTCATAAGCAGAGCATTACATTTAAACAGATCCTTTGTACAGCAGTTCACATTCATCTTTTAAAAATCTTTTTGACAAGTGAACTTGTTTTAGTGTTGTGGTTCAGAGAGCAGGACACTGAAAAAAATCTATCAATCTGGCACTTGAGAAAGCGGTTCACATTCAGCATAACACTGAATAGTCAGTGTTCCGGATTACCATCTTCATTCATGTGTACAAAGTTAAACTTTAACTAACCTTTGGAGGTTCTTGTGGTAGAGAAACAAGTTCTACAGGCGGTGGGGATGGAGATTTTTCTTCTAGCTCTTCAAGATTCTTTTCTTCTACTTCAGATTTCAGCTCCTCTGTTTTTGTTTCAGATTCCAACTCCGGCTCAGGCTCATGAGATGATTCTTCCAAAGGCTCCTCCATTCCATTGCTAGAATTAGAGGCATTTTGTTCACCGTAAAGTACAAGGCTCTTACGATGAAGTTTTGCTAACATGCAATGCTGATTTTTTTTTCCCAAATAGGCTTTCAGCTTCCTACCATGACATCCTGTACATTTACAGTATAGGCAGAGACTATTTTTGCCCCTACCTTTAGTTGCACACAAAGCCACATTGTGGTTCTATTAAACTCAAGGTGAATTTTACCATTAGCTAGAACGTGAATATTACCAAGCCCACATTATGCATGTATCACCTTCAAGGAATGGACTTGAAAAGCTGGAGAACTGCCACTTAGAAATGGCAAGAGGCATTTCTGACAAGAGAACCAGCAAACTAGGGCTGTGAATAGTGCCTGCGTTGACTGTACACATGCAAATTTATCATTCCCATCTCATTTGAGAGTGTGTTGAAAAAAGCTAGTTACCAATCAAAAATCTTAAACATAATTCTATTCTAGAGAGAAAAAAACAGCACCGTATTTTTCTGCTCAGTGTAAAAAAGACAAGTCCTCAAATGAGTGGACTGTTTTTCACCCCCATTAGCTCTGTAAGAGCCAACAGCTGAGAAAGTGAACAGTTTCCTTCTTGGGCATGAACAGAATTGTTTGCTAAATTCCAACCAGTTACACCTGTGCAACCCCCCATGAAGACAAACATTTGCAAAGGTGGCACTAAGGGCCTAACTGAGTCTAAAGAAACATTTAAAGTAGTCTTGTGGGTAAGGCACTGGACTAGGACTAAGATCCGAGTTCAACTCTCAGCAGCGTTGTGTTTCCTTCCCTAGGTAACCTTGGGCCAGTCACTTACAGCCAGATTTCCAGAAGAGAGACTCCTGCCACTTAGGCAACTAAATAAAGGCATTTTCATAAATGCCCAGCCCCCAATGACACCCTTAGGGAGATTTTCACAGCATCCAGCACCTGAGCTCTTCTGAGAAACTGGCCAGATATTTTGGTGCCTAAATGGGAGCAATGCTCTTCTGAAAATCTTGTGCTCAATCCTTGTGCCTGCCTGCCTCATGTGTCAAGCAGGAATAATGCGCCTCTTCTTCCACCTTTGGTCTGTCTTCTTTAGATTTTAAAATGGTTAGGCAAAGCACACACTTACTGTATATCTGTACAATGAGGCCCTGATCTCAGCAGGGGTCTCTAGGTGCTACCTGTCAAGTATCAGGGGGTAGCCGTGTTAGTCTGTATCTACAAAAACAACAAGGAGTCTGGTGGCATCTGTTAGTCTTTAAGGTGCCACCAGACTCCTTGTTGTTTTTGTAGGTGCTACTGTAATATATAGTAGATATTTATATTATAAATGGGTGGATTACAACTAAGGGAATAGCTTAAGGTGTCAACACATACTGATTTGGAATTTAATCTCTATTTATGTTCACATTTGTCACTTCACTTACAGACGAGAGAAAAGATTAAAAATAATGAGTTCCAATATCCCACAAACATACATATTCCATCTAAACACAAAGTTCAGCGCACACAGTTCTGGCATATTAGGGCCATATGTGCATTAGTTTGGTTAAACAGATATTTTAGGGAATTAAGAGTATTCAGGACTAAGCAGCCAAAGCAATTGTTTTCTACTGTTTAGCACGGACTTCTTACGTTACAGGGTGGCTTTCATAGTATGCACTGCTTGTATTCTCTTGCACTTGCTCAGGGGATGGCTGCCTTTCTTCCTGCTCCTCTTCAACCTCTTCTTCCGATTCTGACAGACCAAACAAGACTTGTGATCAATGTTCGAGGAAATGTCAAGCACTTTTTAGAGCACGTTCAATTCTGCTCGCTGGAGAGAGTATAGATTCAAGAAGTCGATGTCATTTCCTTGGTGAAAATCAGTTTCGTGGCACAAAACAATGGACACGAACACAAAACCAGGATGTGTCATAAGAGACAACTAAAAGTCGTGCTTCACCACTGTAAGCAAGACATTTAACACAGGAAAGGGCAGGACACTTAAACTCTCCAAGGATGCTTTTCACCTTTACATTTCCACAAAGAGGAGGCTACAGTTGCTGCAATATCAGGCTGCTGGCTTTGTTTTACAACCAACACCTTTATATATGTGGTGGATAAAAAGGGGAGATTAAACAATTTACCTGCAAGTAACAAGACTAAGAAAACAAAATTCAATAAAAAAGAATGATTGGTTGAGATCGACTTTTCCAAACCACCTTATCCTTCGGGAACATTTTGTAAGCAGCATGAACCATTAGTGTTTGTCTACACACACACTTGCATTGATTTCCAGTTTAGTTAGATTGGTGCAAAGCCCTGTGTGCACATTTTTATTTTGATTTAAGAGTGGCTTATTTCAGTTGAGCTTAAACCTGTCCTTAATTGACTTAAACCTAAACGAAAACAAGTCTGATTTAAATAAATAAAAAAAGTCTATACCCCCTTTTACAGAAATTTAGCTCAAAAAAATCAGATTAAAATCTCATTTTAAAACCGCAACTTTATATTCAGGCAAGCCCTAGGTATTTGGATTTCACTGGCAAGCCTAGGTAATATTTTGCCACCAAGACTGCAGAAGGAAGAGGGCAATAAGCTTTTTCTACACCTTTCTCAAGACAAGAGAGGAAGCAGATGGCTTCACACCCAACAGGTCTCCAGACTTGCTGGCTTTCTTGGATGTCTTTGGCCACTAAGACTCAGCCGTCAACTTGATCCAAGACCTGGCAGCCAAGAAGGATCCAAGGATTGATATATTTACACTCTCTAGTCCGGTCCAAGTTGCCTTCTAAGGCTCCTCAGAAAGAGAGGGAGAGCGCCAGCACTCTTTCTAGACATGAGTAAAGGCTACACAGGTTGTGAATCTCCCTAAATAATGTCCACCAGGCATGCAGATGAAGCACAAAGTAGGTCTGTATCGAGTGGAAGTCTTGCCAAAGCAAGAGTCACACAAGCTGAACCTGGACTTCTCCAGTATGTCACAGAACCAAAGCAATTAGCAGAAAAAATGAGATAAGAAATACTGTATCTCAACCAGCTACTGTGAGTGAAATAAAACTACATATTTAACACTGAATATACCCATTAGTCGATCACTTGTTTAAAGTGATTTAAAAATTTGGCCAATGAGGAGACAGGGAGCTCTGATCTGGCCTTTAACAGTTGGAAAGAGCTGAGAGTGCTCAAGGGGTACAACTATTTCTATAGACAGGCATGAAATATTTGGATCCACAAAAGAGAAAGTGAGTGGTTCCAATGGTCAGAGCATTGAGGTTAGCATGTGCTCTTGACACACGGCGAGCCTACTCTTAATTGCCCCTTAAACTGGTAAGTGAGCAGAGGTGCTCATTCAGGAAACCACCCCTGCAAATCCTTGCTGGATATTATCAAAGAGAGGATTCATACTTTGTGGAAGGCTGAATATTTAAATGAGGAGTGGAGGACTGTCCCCTGGCACTCAAACATCTGATTCAGCTTCAGGGCTAAGGTCACAGTGCTGAGTAAAACGTGCAATTAAACTTTGACTTGCTTAACTGACCTGCCTTTTGACAAACAGCATAGCTAAACTTCCAAAGTTGAAGTGATACTTTAATTTCCAAGTTCACAGTTGCTCATTTCATTTCCATTCTTAATTAAGCTTCTCCCAGATGTAAGAGTGTAACCATCAATACGCAAACTGTATCTGTACTGGGTACTACAAAAGACATTCTACGTATCACAGGAGCAGAATTATAACCGTAAGACTCCAACTTTAACAAAAATTATGTACAATATACAGAAGCGAATATGAGGAGGGATAGCTCAGTGGTTTGAGCATTGGCCTGCTAAACCCAGGGTTGTGAGTTCAATCCTTGAGCAGGCCACTTAGGGATCTGGGGCAAAATCAGTACTTGGTCCTGCTAGTGAAGGGCTGGACTCAGTGACCTTTCAAGGTCCCTTCCAGTTCTAGGAGACAGGATATCTCCATTAATTAATTAATTAATTATTTATATTTGAGAAAGTACTTATTTGTCTAGAGACGTGTGAAACTCAAGAGGCTATTTTGCCAAGGAAAATGAAGAGAAGTACAAATGAACCCAAGGCATACAGAAATTAAGTTCTTACCTTCATCAAGTTCAGCCTCAGAGTCTCCAAATACTTCATCTTCATAGCGGAATATATCATTATGGACATAGAACTTATTTGGAACAGATCCCTATGGAAGGAAAAAGCGTACACATTTACTAGTTACTTGAACAGATGGATGAGTTGTCTCTACTGCTGACTGACTAGATCTGTAAGCTTTGTAACATCACTACTTACTTCAGATCCACATTTCTAGTGCAGTCACCACCATAATACAAGTGCCAATAAAATTACATACATTTCAGTACTTTTAAAATAATCTTTGGTGTCTACCCATCTCATTATTGCAGGTTTGCATGTGGCTTTTTTTTTTTTTTTTTTTTAAGTACACAAATAATCAAATCCTTTAGCTGTGACCAAAGAATCAGTCAAAAAAATTCAAGAAGATAAATCCTGAGTGTTTATACTGACAGTAACTTTATGCTTTTTAATGACTGAATATAAAAATTCATTTATTTCATGGATACTCATTTGTGAGACTTCTTTCTAAAAAAGCTATTTGACCTTTTGCTATTTTAAAATGGACGCATTTATTTTTGCTTCTACTTAGAAAAAAAAATGTACAAGTTAAAGGAGCTACTCAAAACAGGTAAGTTTTACACAGCACCGGAGTTCAAAGAATCTAATAAAGGTTTCTAATAAAAAGGAATACAAGCATCGGGAATAGGAAATGATGACTTTCCGTACTGCATTCCTTTATATAAGGATCATGTAAGTCATGACCTGTGTTGCTTAAACCAAATATTTGTGTTTGTCTCCAGTGACTTTGCATTACCCAAACACGACAGGAGCATAATGAGTTGAATAAGATTAAGTCAAGGGTGTCAAACATTTTGCGAAAGGGACAAATTACATTTAATTATGGTCTGTGGGCTAAGTCTATAGAAGTCAAGGCCTTATGAAGTACTATTTACAATCTAATGGGCCAGGTCCTACCTACAGGCCAGGTTTCTGTCTCAGATTCAAAGACTTTAAGGTCAGAGGGGACCATCATGATCATCTACTGACCTCCTGAACATTACAGGCCACAGAACCTACCCACCCACTCCTGTAATAGACCCCTAACCTCTGGCTGAATTACTGAAGTCCTCAAAATATGACTGATAGACTTCAAGTTACAGAGAATCCATCATTTACACTGGTTTAAAACTGCAAGTGAACTTTGCCCCAGGCTGCGGAGGAAGGTGAAAAACCCCAGCGTCTCAGCCTTCATAAAGTTCAAGGCAATCACATTCCAGTACATACTTACTTCTGGAGCCAGAACAAAAGTTTGCATAAACTTCCTCATTGGTTGCCCGTTGTTAGATAGTTCCCCCATGACCTGCACGACTACACCATCACTCAAGGTCGCATGTGCATCAACATGACGAATCTTAGTGTGACATTCACTGAACTGTAGGGACATCACCTTCTTATGAATCTCCTAGAAATAAAAATAAAGATCTAACTTTAAAACTAAGTGCAACTAGAATTTAAACAGCGCTCATAAGACTAGTTATATTAATTATATGACCCTGAGCTAACCACTCCCTTCCAACTCAAAAGGAGATAAAGGAACTTACTAAACGCTATTGGCTGAAACAGAGGCTACAGCTTAAAAAAAGCTATTACTCAGGTTCTCCAGCAGAGTTAGCGGTGAATGAAAAAGCTCTGGTAAAGCTCATTTTTACCTAATTTTCCAGCAAAGTTGCTGAAGGCAGTAGATAAGATTTTCACTTTCCAAGGCCAACCAGTGAGTCAAATGATTCATTTGTTTGAAGAAAAAAGACACCCCATCACTCTTCCAAGGTATTTGTACAAGTCCCATCACAGAAGTATCTGAATACCATACATTCTATCCAGGAGCCCAATGTACTACATGACATCTACTTTGTAATTACATAGTTCTCCTACCCAGAAGTGTGAAAGTACTGGACAAAAAAAGAAAGTGACCACACTCTGCCTGGGCTCACAACAGCACTCAGAGTTGGGAGTGTCAAGTCAACAGACATGTTCCCCCAGGAAGGCAGGAACAAAGGGGTGGAGTGGGGGGGGAGAAGCTTATTTTCTCAAGTTTTACTTAAACGTTTAATAACCAAAACAGAATAGCCACAAAGCCAATGGGAAAATCTAGAACCTGACAAGACATTCCAGAAGTGTACAGAAACACGTGAATCCATCTTGCATTATCTCTTTGGCCAGCAGATACATATACAGACATTTTGTACCTAGTATTTATAGTTCTGATGTCAGTCAAACATGGGTGATGTCAAAGTCCTGCATAATGGTGCATGTCTGGATTGCAGAGATCTGGCACACTGCTGAATACATCCAGCAAAACACCAGTTCCCCTCCCAGAACTATATGTTTTAACTATAACTATGTAAGAAGTCTTCCACAATTACACATCCAATAGCAAAGAACAGTCTGACTTCGAATTATTAGCAATATTAGGCTACCTTCTCTTAATATGGTCTAACATTAATACAGCTGTGGGGATGCTTTCCAAAGTTATGAAGTATGGGACCGATGTGCCTACATATAATTTTGATAGCGCTTTCGTAGCATCCAGGTTTAGTATTATACATGCATGTCAATAGCTTGCTTGCTTGACCTATTCTTTTCCATTCCTTTGTTTCCATCTCACAAAGCTGGGTTGATTCTCAGTCCCTCAATCTCATTTTCCTTTCAATGATGACATCTACGCACGCATTTTTAGAAACACCAGGGCAGCACCTCATCTCTGTTGTGCTTGTCCTTAGAGCTTCCCCTAACAGTCATTCTGTACAGCATGATTGCCGAATGTGGCAGAGTCAGACACTGCCTGTGATGAAGGGCATTCCATGGAGATAGTAATGCTGTCCTGGGGCAAAGTTGCTCCTTAGCAAGCTTCCCTTACGGACCAGAAACTGTGAACTTAACTGAGCTCTTGATCCTCTCTCTGCCTTCTTTGCTAACAATTTTGAACCCTGTAACATTAAGTATCAACCATCTCCAATGACGGCCAATGAGTCAAGACATTTAATATTTACACTTTTCCTTATTCCCAGTCCGCTTGGCCATTCTTAAAGGATTTCAATCACACTGTAGTATGGAAGATAACCGAGGGTTTGGCACTGCCTTCCATCCTCCAAACTTTACATTGTAAGTATTACTGACGATGAAAGCAGATACACATTGTCAGTAAAAGCTACTCTATGCATGGCACTTGGCAAGGTGAGGCCCAGAGACAGCAAGCCTACACCTTACTTCTGGAAATTCTTAACAGCCAGACTAGAACACAAGAGTAATCTCTCTGCCATCAGTAGCAATTGATGAATGCTTCACGAAGCGGAACAGAAACAATGATGTACCAAACTATGCAATAATTCCATTCAGAGGAGAAAGACTTCTGCACTGTCCGAAACTGTGAAACCTGGAGAGCGGGAGATCAGGCAGATTGAGGTGTGCACGGCCACTTTGTTGCAGTATGAAGTTACATATAAATACCCAGTTACTGACTGGTTGAACAAATTCTCCCCATCACCACCACCGCACCTGAAACTCACAGGTACCCCCTACAGCATTTTAAGACAATCACTGATAAATGATTAAGTATGAAGGATCCCATGAGCACATTCTGTACCTGTAGGCAACAGGTGCAACTGCAGTGGTGTTAATTTGAGCACTAATGAATACAAAGCTAAATAGTTTAGACAGTCCACAAGTCGTGTCCTCATTTACAATGACAAGTTTAAGAGTTGTAGTTCATCACTGTAGCTGCTCCACCAGTGATATAAATGGTGAAGGATGTAGTGGAGACAGGATTCTGGTGTTTCTACATCACCTGCCTTACGAGGTGTGACAACGGTACAAATGCCAGAGTCCTGTCTCCACTACACCCTTCACCGATGCATAGCCACCACCTGTATGGATGAAAGGATCTGACTAGCAGTGACCAGGAAGGGAAGGAGAAACTAGGGAGAAGCTAAGACTGGCTAAGAAAAGGAGAGGTGAAGGGGCAAGGAAGGCTGTTTAGAGCACTGTGGAGTACACCGGCCTCCTTCACAAGGCAACAGCGCTAAAAACTGCTGCAGAAAGACGCTTTCAAGGACTGCATCAGCTGATGCAATCGAATCCTTCCAGTAGGGCCTCAGGAAGGTACGATCTGAGCACTAGAAAGCAACCCACCAGAGCTTGTCCACAGAGGCCTTGTGGTGCTTTGCCTAGCATGTGGCCACCGCTCCAAGGAATCATGAAGGTTCTATGGGCAGGAGAGATCTGCAGAGGAGCAATGCCAGATGCAGGGCCTGATTCAGCAGGGAAGAGTTCTTGTGACAACTCCTCCCCTTTGCAAGGCTCTCTGAAAAAGCACAAGGACCTTCGCTTGTGGATAAGTAGATCTCAAGTATTGAACAACTGTCCAAGCAATGCCACCACCTCTACTCTGGCCTTGGGACAGATGTTAGAGTCAAATATCCTGGCTAGCAAGGAAAATCAGACCATCTGGGAAGAAAACTTGGACACATTTTTTCATGAAATAGGAAGAGATTACGCCACTGTGTAAGTCCCAACTTTCTAGGCTAAACAGCAGCCGCTTTCCATGACAGGACTGTCTGCGTGCAGTTTAGACGAAGGGTAAAAAGTAGTGAACTCAAGAGATTAATGCAAAACAAATTATCTAGATGAAAATAATTAGTTGCGACTAATCAGTTTTAATCACACTGTTAAACAACAGAATACGAACTTAAATTTATTACAAATATTTTGGATGTTCTTCTACATTTTCAAATACATTGATTTCAATTACACAAAGTACAAAGTGTACAATGCTCACTTTGTAAAAAAAAAAGTAATCAAAAATAATACACAGTGCAAATATTTGTAATAAAAAATAATTAGATAAATTAATTGCAGTTAATACGTGATTCAAAAAGTTAATTTGTTGTGAATTAAACGAGCGTTAATCACACCCAGGAGGCACCATGCTCGGGGGACACTGCTGCATGCCCTCACAGCAGAAGTGCCCTTCTCACACTGCCTGCTCCACTGCCGCCCCTGCCTCGTCTCCCCACCATGGAGTCTCGCCTAGCCAAGATGCTCCAGACCAGGAGCCTGCCTCCTGTCTGCTGCACAGAGTGGGGGCAGGGAGGGCTGATGTTGGGGTGTCTCCCTACCTCAACCTGTGTACCCGGTCACTGCTGAGCTGGGAGACGGGGGAGATGCCCTGCTGCTGGCTGAGGAGTGAGTGCTGCCGACAGCACCTGCTGCTGGCTGAAAAAGCGTTCAGGCTCTTGAGTGCTTTGTTTAAAGAGGCAGCGCTCCCCCAACACCAGCACTCCCCTCCCCCCCCCCACGTTTAAATAAATAGTATTCTATTATTAATAGTGTGATTAATTGCAACTTTTTTTAATCTCGCAATTATTTTTTTTTAATAGTTTGACAGCCCTAGTAAAAAGCAGTGTCTTATTTTAAGGACCTGGTAGAAGACAGTGGGGAAGCCTAAGAATGGGCGCCTGGACATCAAAAGAGCTAGAGCACCTCAAATCTATCTTGGAAAAAGCCAGTATGGAGGGAATTGTGGTTTTCTTTGCAGAGATGATAGAATCTGCAGCAAAAGAAGCCACCCTCCTACAAGCACAGAAAATTATCCTTTGTGGAAACAGAGGTGGTCAGGTCAGAGATTGCTAGTTGTGAAAGGAGGGAGTTTGGGGGAGAGGGGAGGGAAGGGCAGAAGAATCCCTGGAATATACTTTCCCTGGTAATCACTGGCCAAAATCATTGGAGAACAGAGGCGGTCTATAAACCAAGTACATCTTTGCCACCCTGGGAATAAGGAAGTCTGAAAGCATAAAATCCTTACAACTTTCTGCCGAACCTACCACACCAGGGGAAAAGAGGGTAAGCATAAACTATCTCCCCCATCAATGATACGGAGAAAGTACCCTGTAGCCAGGCATCGGGTGCAATATCTGGGAACTGGGGCTCTGCTACTTGCTATGAAGAAGTCCATCAAGAGAGATGGGGATCAGGACGGTACTTTGCTGAAGGGCTCCTGCAGAGGGTAGTGGTGAACCATTCCCCAAGACAGGAGTTTCCAGTGGAACCAGTCTATTTGGGAGATTACACAGCTGTAGGGCTTTGAAAGCACTCAGCTCTCTCTCTGCCCAGGAAAGAAAATATGAGATTCCTTTTGGAATAAATGCTCTGGGGTCCCAACTTGATTTAAAAAGGCCACCAAGGCCACCTTGTCTGACTTGATCGGTATCTGGCGGGGAGGATACCGATCAAGTCAGACAATGGCCTGAGCGCCAAGATGTTGACGTGGAGATCTCTCTGAAAGAGGACAGCGCTCCCTGAATGGATGAATCAGAAACTCCTGTGTGGAGGCTGGCATCCTTGATGAACAGAGATGAACAGGGAACCCCTTCATGGTGTGGGATCTGTCCAGCCACCGAATGAGAGGTTACTTACTTGGATGAGGCAGGAGAAATTAGGCACTTCAAACCCTCCTCCCACAAAACAGATTATAGCAGACACTACTAGAGGGATCGGGAATGGAATCTGATTCAGAGATCCCAAGTCTGATAGAATAAAAGCTCCGAGCAAGGCCGTCTGGGAGTGTGTCGGATAGCTCTTTTACCCATCAGTCAAGGTCACCGAATATCAGCCTATACATTCCCAAAGCTTCCTGGAAGGTGTGAGCTGAAACAAGCCAGTTTTCCAGGTAGGGAATTTTGTGGACCCTTAACCTCCCACATCAACATACCTGCGTGAAAGATGAAGATAACTCACCCATTTACTTACAGTGGTAACAGCCACGTCACAAAATGCATACAGTAAATAGAGGAGTAGTAGAGTAACAGGTAGCCAAAACAATTCAGACAAGTATGGATTTAAGCTCATGCCATTAGACAGTACATGAGCGAGATGGTAACTGATTCGTAATAGCTTGCTTATTGGACAAGAAAAATATAATACAAGAAAAAACAAAACTGATTGGTTAAGACATTAGTATCACAGTCACTAGTTTTAAAATTAAGACTATGCAATTGATTTAGATACATACAGCTTGGCCATACACTGCTTCCTGGGGCTTCCCGCTGGCATCCAGTCCACCATGGACATAAGAGGAATTCCTGCCATAAAACCTGCAAAAACATTGAAGCTTCAAGTTTAGGCTTCTGACAGTAAAATAAAGCAATTCCAAAGTCAAAGACACCATGTGTTTAAGTCCAGTGTAGTAGCGTTAGGCATGTTCTTGGTTTGTTTTTTAAATTAGTTTCTGTGGAAATGCTCCCATTTGTGCATTCAGCTGCTTCTATAACTCCTGAGTATTGGAAGAACAAGACCTACTTTCTACATCCTCCATCTTATTTACCATGACTACTGTGTTTCTAATGAGCCCGACCATACTTTGTTTGGTGGGTTTTTTTATAATTGTGGTTAAGTCCTATTGTCATTTGAGCTTGAAATGTGCCCAAGTTAGTGCTTCTCACGGATTGTGTTAGAGAGGGTCCAGTTAAGATTTCAGGCTACACTGATAAGGATCTAGTAAGGATATAAAAGATGTTATCAACATTCTATAGATAGGTATTATCCTTCAAAGCTGCTGGGCAGGACGAACCAATCTTGCATTGCTTCAGTCTATACAAACAGGTTGGCCAAGTTAAATCTACATTGAAACATTTGTTTGCAATTTTGCCCTTTGGCTTCCCCAGCACCAATGACCAGAAATGCATTGCAAAATTCAGAAACCCTTGATAACAAGATTTAAAGGAGCCACTATTCCAAGAAGCTCAAAAAGATGTAGGCTGAGATCAAACCGAAAAACATGGCAGGGGAATAGACGTCAACTGACCAAAAATCAAATCTGAGTATCCATTCAAGGGAGATAAATGTTAGACCAGTTTTAGTTCAATCACCTTGTTCTTCCCTAGTTATAACTGAAATACAAGAACTATTTCCATCCCAAGATGGAATTTTAATTTTATATTCATTTGGATCACTGAAATACAGAAAACTGGAGAAGTTAATGTTTCAGTTAATGAGGTACTGCACAACCGTAACAGGACTTAATGTAATGTTTCCATTCTAGTTCTGTTTAACTTGTCCTAATTGTACAGAACTGCTTAATTTTTCTACAAATTAAACAAAAACCACTCAAGTCAAATTCCAAATTAAGGTTGTTTGTACAATCTTAATTCTATTCCCTTCTGCATATGCATTCCAGTAGTCTTTAATTCCATGACCGCATAATTTATCAAATGCAATATATATTTCTTCTACAATTTTGTACAGATGTGTATCATCATAATCATTTTAAACTTCACCGGTTTATGATCTTTCAGTTTCAGCAATTAGTAAACACTGATTTACTCCAAATGCATACTTTTAACAGTATTAATTTTGGAAGTTACATTGCTAACTAGACAAGTGAAAAACTGAGTCTACATTAGCCAACGTGTGTTTTCCAGTGGTAAGTATTTCACAATGGTGTATTTGTAATAAGATATATTAATGGAATACCATTGGATAGCAATGTAGCCACTGAAAGGGATAAAGCAACTGAATTTCAATCCCCGTATATATATATATATATTTTTTAAACAAAACAGTAATCTACATATGGAAAGTTACGGAATTGAATGTTACATACACTCCACCCACTTTTCAAAACACTAACTTTCTTCTGCTGCTAGTTGGATTGGGTCAGTTTAGTGCATGACAGAATTTACAAAGTTAATTTCAATTAGTCTTTCAAAGGTTGGAACATTTTATCCACCCAGCAGTTACTGCTGCACATTAGTTTTCACTTTTAACAAGTTATTAGAATTAAGAAATATGCTCCCCAGAGACACCCTAACCCACACTCTGTGCAAATTTCTGCTTTCCTACAGACTTCAGACTTTAACCTAGAGGGATCAGAAAGATGAGACTCAGAAGTGTCCGCTCTAAAGGAGCATTTTTAATGTTGCAAACTAACTGAAGACAGAATTTTCTTGACTACTTTCTAGTAAATCTATCACATTATTTTACATGGATTTGGACAAGAGACAGTATTATTCGCCATGCAAAACAGATTGAATCTTTGCATTAAGTATTGAGAGAAACACATCTTACCTATGAGTTGCTACTGCTGCTCCACTAGGCTAGCACTTTCCCCCACTACTACTTTATGTTATTCTTCTATTATACGTATGTGTGATTTATCAAGTATTTTTTATTAGAGTATTTTCAGGGACACTGGCATACACCAAATACTCTGATAAGACACTATTCATGCATATCTAAGGTTCAAGAAAAACAACCTGCTTTTCTGAAAATAATTATGCTGGATTTTCACTCCTGAAAATAGTGCCTCCAGGATGAATCACACAAAAAAATTTCTTTAACGCTTAAGATTTGACCTTCTGAAGCAGCTGCAGGTCAGTCCAAGGGCTGTACCTTAATAAATATGCTCTAGAACTACATACTTTAGAAGCCTCAGAACACTCTAGTCAATTGTTTTCAGGAGTGAGAAATGAGCTATTCTAAATTTGAAATTAAGAAAATAAAATTCTTAAGTACTTAAAGATGAACAAAGGATGTGCAATGGGCACACAAGCACCTGTACAGCAGATTAGAGCACCTCATCATGCCGAACTCCCAATTCCAAGGGTAGCTACAGAGATGAGCAAATCATGCAAAACTTCCCAAACAGATCTAAATTATAACCCTCCATTAGCAAGTAGCTCAACCTCCTCACCAGGTGAAGTCATGGGAGACGTACATTTCTTGTTCATGTGGAACTATGAAATTCCCCCAGATCTTGGCCTTGCAGTCCCTGAACATGCTGAGTAAGGAGCCCACTAAGGGGCAGATCTGCTGATCATTCAGAGCTATCGACCAAAATATGGCTTCGAACTATTAAGTTAAAGCTCCATCAGGGGAATAAATGTTTAGCTCCCATGTACACAAATCTACAATTTCCATCCATAACAGATCACAGAAGCTATAGCACCAGCAAAGCCATAGAGGTTCATCTATGATGGAACTCCCATTCAAACCACATAACCAACAAAGCTATCTGAAGTAGCACTCCTAGTTCCTGAAGAAGCTGGACTACTGGCTGAGTTTTTGAGGATGCCTACTGATAAGGATCTCTGGGGCTGCCCTGAAGCTTTTACTGGGGGAAAAAGATTGTGAATGCTAATTGTCAAACTCCTCTCTAGTCACTGTGGAACTATTACGATTCCTTCAGATGGATGTCAAACACTGTCAAGCCCTTAAAACCACAGCCTCTATAGATGTAATAGTTCAGCTATAGATCAGGCAAACAGCACAGGGAGCACAGAAAAAATACTTCAAGACATAGGCGCCGATTCTGTGGGTGCTCCGGGGCTGAAGCACCCACAGAAAAAAATTGGTGGGTGCTCAGCACCCACCAGCAGCTCCCATGGCCCAGCCCCACTGCTCCAGCTTACCGCCGCATCCTGCTTCTCCCCCCTCCCTCCCAGCGCTTGCACCACGAAACAGCTGATTCGCGGGGCAGGGAGGGAGGAGGAATGCCGCGCTGGGGGAAGAGGCGGGGCCGGGGCCAGGGATTTGGGGAAGGGATCCAATAGGGGCAGGGAGGGGGCGGAGTTAGGGCAGGGACTTTGGGGATGGGGTTGGAATGGGGGCAGGGCCGGCGCAGGGAAGGGGTGGAGTTGGGGTGGGGCCAGGGGCAGGGAAAGGGTGGAGTCGGGGCAAGGAAAGGGGTGGGGGGGTCCGGGCACTCACTGGCACCGGAGAAAGTTGGTGCCTATGCTTCAAGAGGAACTCTGACAGACACTAGTGTCCTCCACAAGAGGCCACATCCAAGTGTCCCAAGCTAAGAAAACTGGGTTAGCTTGTGGTTAGAGATCTCCACAATATCTTAAAGTGGTTCTGTTGCCCTGCAGAACTGTGCCAGTTCAGAGCAACAGCTGAGGGGAGACAGTCCAGCATTTTCACCAAGTGCTCAAAGGTGGAAGCTGTACTCAGAATACCACCTGTTGTAAGGAACTCTAGCTGCTGAAAATCCTGGAGCATTCCCAGGAGTTCATCAAGCCTGATGCGTTGGCAGTACCAGAAGGTCATTAAAAAATATATACAAGGAGGCTTATAACTAATTATGCTTTACACTCTGGTTTGTTAAGGGCCCTTCCTTGATACAGAATCCTCAGTGTCAACAGCTCCTGCAGCCTGTCAACACGTACTGGCATACAGGATAACCTGGAGAGCTGCTTTTCACAGAAGCAGCATACATTGAGTTTCTGTGACTAGAGTTGACAATTACCCACCACTGATCTCCCCCTAAAGCACCAGACTTTTCACCAACATGCAAACAGTCTCAGCAATCAGCTCAGTTTATAGGGCAGTTAGAGAGAATCAGAGGAGCAGAGGAACCTAAAAGAGAACAACAGGAACAGAATTAAAACAAATCAAGTGTCAATCTGAGAAAGGGCTAGATCAAAAACTTGAAGACTCAGGCACCAACTCCAGAAAAGTGTTGAATTGCAGATTATAAGCCCAAAAATCAAAACTACTGAATCTTCTACGCAAATGCTAAAGCAGCAACCAATAAGAATAAGGACTGACTGGAGTTTGAATGAAGGACCGCCTAGTATCTTGCTTAAAGAGCAGCATGTGATCAGAGCTCCAGCTATATTGTTACATCTCTAGAGAAGGTAGCTTTCTGCAAGACTTTAAAACCTGACACCACCTACTAGCCCAAGGACTAGGCCTAAGAGCCAAAGTGAAGAAGGAGATGTGACATCACACCCTTGCCCTAAAAAAACCATGTCTTCTGCAACATAAAGGAACAACTGTGCACAGTATTTAACTGTAATAGTGCATATCAAATTTATAAGAAATAACTTGAAAAATGTAACTTACTACACCTCTTGTTTTTGATGTAACTTTTCATTTTCTGGTTTCACTCCACTTTCTTACCTACAAGAGATTATAGTGTGTCTTTTCCCATCTTGTCTTCAGTTTATTTCCTCTCTTCTTTCTTTCCTTCTGCCCCCTTACCCTTGCCCTCTTGTTAGACTTTCACCTCCCTTTTCCTTCTCCCAACTTCTGAATACCAATCTCTCTTCACTCACTCCCATTCACACACAGGGCTTGGAAATTTTATTGGACACCTAAAAGTCAGTCCTAAAAAAGAAGTACCGCTATGCACTTCTAGCCTAAAATACAAGTGCCAGAACACCACTGCTGCTCCTCACAAAAAAGCATCAAGAGTGGTGTGTGACCAGGTAAGAAACCAGCCCCCCGTTGCACCCCACTGTAAAAGGAATCTCAACCCCTTCTTCTAAGAGGATGATGTCCTGCAAGCTGCTTGGGGAGTCCATTTCCATCTAGTGGGTGCCAAACATCCCAAGCCTCCCACACATTCGCTTTGGACACTGCAAGTTGTCTACTGCAGTGTTTCCCAAATGGTGAGTCCTGACTCATCAGTGGGTCACGGGAAGGTTCTAGATGGGTCACAGGGCCCTAGGCAAACACTTCTCCGGGCCTGGTGCTGAGCAGAGGCCTCGGGGGGAGGGTCAGAAAGCATGCCTGCCCTGCACTCACCCCTCAGTGGTGGCTGGGCTCAGCTCCCCACCCAGGGCATTGTGACCTGGCATCCTGGTCAAATTTGAGTGATGCTGCAACACCGTGTGCCAGGTTGTAACGCCCGGAGCAGAGAGTTGGGCCCAGTCCGGCAGGACAGGAGCCACCACTGCAGGCTCTCTCTCTCTCTCCCCTCCCCTCCCCTCTGGGGCCTGCACGCCACTCTGGGCCAGGATTAGGCTTGCAGTGTCTGGGCAGAGGGTGACTGTGGATTATAAAACCACAATGCAGTTAGTGGATTGCGTTAGTTAAATGTTTGGGAACCAGTGGTCTACTGTTAGCTGTTATTACAGGAGGCAAGAGGGGTGTCTACCACTCCACCATTCCCCTCAACCTTCTGGTTGCCACGCGTGGGACCCTCCCTTCAGCTCCTCCCCAGAGAACAGCACCGGTGCTTGCCTCTGCTCATAGCGTTCAAGCAGGACCAGCAGGAAACAGCCAAATATCAGTTACAGGAGGTCTGCAAGGTTCTGAACAACATCAGTAAAACCAACAAGACCATGATCATTCTTGGCTTTGCTGCAGCTTGACTATACTATCAGAGGCAGAGATACCGAAACTCTTTGCAGACTGAGAACATAGCATTGCCTCTATTTCTATTCTTTGCATTCAGAGGTTCCTCAGAATCTAGTAACATCTGCTTGGGAAAGCTCCCTACTGAACATGCTGGAGAACTTCCCCAGCTCTAATGTTATATTGAGCTCAGGGCTCTCCTTCCCCACAGGGACAGAGGAGCTCCAGAATGCCAGAAACTCCCAGAGGTGCACAGTAAAAATGCTGCACCTCAGGAGGCTTGCAGGCACGAACTGCTCCTCCAATTCATCTACACGGGGTATCCTCCTTCCCCCCGGCATCAGATTTGTGGAGCTGTGCCATGCCCTGAGCTTGTCAGTTATTGACTCCCCAACCAGGTCCCAGCAGTATTTGCTGTACCATGCATGAAGCCTGCTGGATCTCAGCTCCAGTCTGAGGAGTGAGACACAGGCAGAACCTGCATTTGCAACAACATCTATCCCTGCCCCTGAACTGACAGACACATTTTTAAGTTGACCTGACTTTGAGGTTTAGGTCACTTTAAAATTTTACCTTTACACAGAAATGCTGCTTCCAACTTCTGTTACATAGGAAGTACGTATGGTTCAGAGCAACTTTGGACACACCACAGAACAGAAACTAAGTCTAATAACTCATTTAGATTTTGAAGCTGGACAGCAGATGAGCTCAGGGGCAGTTCAGTGATTTAATTTAGGTAGGTATTGCAGATAGCTTCCCCCTCTGCTTTGGGCAAAAAAGCATTACATAAGATCAACATTTTAAATGGTCATTTTGAGGGAATTGTAACTTGGGAATTTCTTGACCAAATGAGCCCAGATATGCACCACCAACTCTACCCAAGCTCTCAAATGACAGCAAATTTTCAGGCATTTGAATTTTAGAACACTCAACATCTCTAAAGAGAAAGTTTCACTCAACCTTAAACATGATGCTGAGAGGGTTGGACTCTTATGTTCGGAAATATACTCCTCACCATACAACTACTGAAACAGTTTCTGAAGGCAAGAAACACTTAATCAAATTTAAAAGTGTACAATGAAGTTAACTGAACAATGATGGGAACTGTAAAAGGAGGATGCAGATGGGTAGGATTGATCCATTAACCTTCACTAGTATATTAGAAACAAACCCTGACTAGCAACATTTATCTCATCTCTAGTAAGGATTCAGACAAATACAGTAAAAGTGTTCTAATCGACACTTCTCCAACTGCAGAGCTCTATAAACCGGCATTTCTGATCTTAATTGAAAATGCCGGTTTATAGTCTGGTTGGTGCGGGGCCGGCACGGGATTGGGGCAAGGTAGGGGGTGTAAAAGCGGTTTTATCCGGCATGTTGGGAGAATGGGAGATGCCAGTTAACTAAGAGGGAGGGAGTTTGGGTGCGGGGTTGGGCCACGGGAGGGGCTGTGGAGCACGGGCTCTGGGAGGGAGTTTGGGTGCAGGATGGGATGCCCTGCAAGCCACGACCTGTTCCAGACTCCAGCTGCTCCTAGGCAGAGGCGCAGCAGGCGGCTCTGCATGCTGCCACCGCACACACCCCCCCCATTGGCTGGAAACCGCAGCCAGTGGGAGCTGCAGAGGTGGCACCTGCAGGCAGAGGCAGCAGGTACAGCCACCAGCCGCACCTCCGCCTAGGAGCAGGCAGAGCCCAGGACAGGTCGTCACTTGTGGGGAGCCGCCAGAGATGAGTGGCCCCTAGATCCAGCACCCCCTCCTGTGCCCCAAACACATTCCCCGAGGCCCCCCTGCACCCAAACTCCCTCCCAGAGCCCACGCTCCACAGCCCCTCCAGTGGCCCAACCCCGCACCCAAACTCTCTCCCTCTTAGTTAACCGGCACCTCCCATTCCCCCAACATGCCGGATAAAACCGCTTTTACTGTACTTCTCATGGGAGTTTCTCAGTCAACATAAAGCTTAGTTAACTATAACTTTTAGCTCTCTTGGTAGGTACTATATCTGATTGAGTCATTTTGTTGTTGTTTTACAGACTTTTTTTTTTTTAAACCTTTCTCTACCTTGTTGCCATGTGAATAATGCTACATAAACTCAGAAAACTAACTATACAGGGGAAAACAATGAAACTGACTGCACCATGCCATGAAATGTACAAAATAAATTTAGCAAAAAAATATTTATTGTAATCTTTCAGTTATGGAGGCCTTAGCGGGTACGAAAGCCTCAGACAGCAATAGGATTTTCTAGTTGTGTCCAGCTAACATTAGCGAGATGAACCCCTACACTACCTGGACACTGGAAGCTTGATTTTTGCCTAGGAGTTCAGGGGTTGTCTTACTACATCACCTTACTACAGTTTTAAGAAATTCATCTAGAATTCTACTTTACAAGGATAATTGCTCCATCCGCATTGGTGCATATGTAAAAAATACCCAAATGAACATACAGTATATATATCTGCCTGAATAGCTATATAGAATGACACACTCAAATAAAACACACAAGTTTTATAAAATAGCTTTCAGTATAGATGCAATTACCTACCTTTCAAATGATATGGGGAATAATTTTCAACTCCCCCACCCAACCCCAAGAGTTCTTAAATTTAGATTGTAAAATAAATTTATTTTACATTCATCCAAAAATACAATCTGCTTCTTATATTCAAGAATACATAAATTAATTTACATATAAAAAGATTACCTGTGCAAGAAGTCAGGAGCTTTATTTAGCAAAGTGTAGTACTGCCTCACAAACTCCCGCCCTACAAGCAGGGGACTTGGCTTCTCCATCACCATTTCTTTGGTACAGAGTGTCAAATGCTGTAATTAGAGAAAAATTAATAAATTACTTTAAAAGCAACCCTGCAATTTAATATATCTATCCATTCATCCCCTCACATGGATTTTTATGAAATCCTACGTAAAACAGGAATCACTATTTGGTAAGAAACTACGACACCAACATGTAGTCTCAGACTTGAAAATACTTGAGTAACTCAAGACTTCTGTAGTTCAATCATTCATTATCTTGACAAATTGATCTAATTTTCAAGATCTCAAAGTAATTAGCAAGCACAATAGTTTCAGAGGAGACAGACAAGAGGCAAGCTATGCTTGTTAAATTCATTTAAATAAATACAACAAAATTATCCAAAATACTGGCGATTACAATTTTTACCCTTTATTAGCAAGAGGTTGATTAAAGTCATTAAAACAAAGTTTCAAATGAAAGATTATGTTAGTTACTTATGTCCTTTGGTCTTTTTATCTTTCAACAGCAGTACTTGCACTCAAGCAGAAAAACTTACTAAGAGGGGCTCACCACCTTTAATACAGTAAACTTATCTACCTTGTAAGTCTGCTTTTCCAAACGGAATTATCCTTCAACACAAGTCATGGGAGAAATTCCTTAGCTATCAGAATTATCTGATGTTTCAAGGTACCTGTCTGGAGATTCAGCAGCTTTGCTTTAATGACCATGCTCTAACCTCAGATGGCTCTGAATTTTCCAGCCCAGTTCCTCTCAAGAGTAGGAACTCAAACTCAGGTACATTTGGCCCAATCAAGTAAGAAACATCCTGTAAGATCCCAAAACTTGGGGAGTGGGAGAATTTCAAATTTCTCTGCTTCAGAAGCAGGCTCTGAAGGAAAGAGGAATACAGCAGAATTCCTCCACAGATAGTCAATCTAAGGAGAAGAATTATACAAGTATATGTGGCAACGGTGCCTAAGACCATGATTGAAAGCGTCTTGAACACTAGCAAAAACACTAGCAGACTATTCCCTGGTCTACCAGAACTCTGAAAGCCCTTGAAGTGCACGTGACTGTCCCAATTCCCAGAAACTAAATATGCATAGTTTCTGCTCTGGACAAAACATTTCCTGTGTTTTTCCTACATGAACTCCCTTAACAGGCTATATGGTTATCCTACTAGAATCAACTTTGGAAAATCTGTTGCGAGCATTGTCCCTGAATTGTCACTGGACCAAAGAAGTCTTGAGGTTATCTGTTCTCAGATATAGAGGGCATTTGTCTCCACCAAAATCTGAAGGGGCCAATGAAATTCTCATGTGGAGGTTACTAAACACAAGCCACCACTATTGTATCAGTATTGACACCACTTTGGTCTCCACATCCCTCCTACATAGGTGTCCCTAATGAGCAAATATGCACATTGCAGCAAGCAGTGAATCAGCCAACAGGAACGTTAACTTCCACTAGTCACAATCCAACATACACCTCTACCCCGATATAACGCGAATTCGGATATAATGCGGTGAAGCAGCGCTCCGGGGGGGCGGGGCTGCGCACTCCGGTGGATCAAAGCAAGTTCGATATAACGCAGTAAGATTTTTTGGCTCCCGAGGACAGCGTTATATCGGGGTAGAGGTGTATTTGGGAAGCAAACACCACTATGCTGACTATTGGGCATATATGCCAGCTGACTAAGACATCAATTTCAGTCTTAAAAGTCATGCCCAGTAATAGAACAACCGATTCAATTCAATCTTTTCTTATCACATGACCCTCCATGTCCCTATCTCCCCAGAAGACCGAGCATTAAACACACTGAAGTGGTACCTTCATAAGAAAGTGGTTGTGAAACCAGAACTCCAACAATTCCTAAAAGACACTTTAGCTTGCTACCCAAAGAAATTGGAGGTGTGAGAAATGCAAGGGCTGCAGGAGGAGCGAACACTGAGAAATGCAAAGGCATGTGACTCTTAGAAGGCGAAACAGACGGCATGACTTGGCGCATGGCAACAGGTCTGGAGACCAACAGATGTACAACAAAACTAAAACAACGGAAACCTGCTGGATACTTCAGTCACTTGTAAAGCCTGTCCTGCCCCACAGAGTCTCCAATGCCCAACTAATGCTAATGTCTCTGAGTCAAGCTTGTAGCAATGCATCAATACCATTGCCTCTCAGCAAGTCACTGACAGTCTATCAGAGAATTAGCACTCAGGAAAAAGGTGGATGGAGAAAGCAACATTATACTCCTTGTGCTGGCATGCTAGCGGGAAGGAAGCTGGCACTGCAATGCATTCCAGCCCAACACTGCCCAATCCCAGACATCTCAACGGGAGAGGGAAAGTTCTCTCATCACATCAATGTAGCAAATGAAACTATTCGTACACAAGCCCTCAGCTTCATTGTCACCTTGATAGATCAGCACAGGGGACAAAAACCCCTGTATGTCTCAGAACCCTGCTGCCATGCCCACCACATCACTCCACTCCAATGCTATCCTGGCACACCAGGGGGATGAGCAAGCTACAATTCCTGGCATGTAGCAGAAGGGAGGGAGCTGGCTCCCAGGTTCTGTAATCCCACTGGCACATCTCCACAGAGGAAGAAGCCACTGCACAGACACAACCCCTGCAGTGACCATGGCATGTCAGGGAAGCAAAGGAAACAGCCGTCTCTTTGCTCTGCCATTCCCTTAGTGCACCAGAATGGAGGGTATTGTCTAGGGTGAGGTCCCCTGTCATCTGAGCTCTGCATTCTCTCAGCCCAAAAGCACAGATGAGAGCTGGGTGCTCCAAGAAGTGCCTCACACTGTCATACTCCTCAACAATATAGAATGGCCTTGGTCAGTTGCGCCAGCCCACCAGGTCAACAGCACCCCCATGCCACCCTCTCAGAATACCATGTCACAGGGTGGCAGGTTTGTAAATCCAGACTAAGAGCAGCATAGCCTCCATTTTATCCAGATGGCACCATCTAACTCTCAGAAGGCACATGAGTTTCCAGGAGAGCCTCTGAAACTCAGACATTGGCATAAAACCTCTTCCTGAAACACACCTGAACTCAGCTTCTAGATGACCCAGTGCCTGCTTTCCAATGACAATTAGTGTGAAGCGTCTCAGAAAGCGCCATGGCACAAGACACCATTACACTTCCACAAGGCTCTGGAGCCTCACATCTACACTCTCATGGATGCAACGGTAGGATATGCTGATATCACCAGTCTTGTTAGATGCTAGCTGCCTTCCTCACATCAGTGTGCTTGTCTTACAATGAGGCACTGACTAGAACGGAGTACAAGCACATGACCCTTTCTGCTTTGGAAAGTGCCGTACTCCATGTGCCATAGCACTAATTTTCAAGTCCTGAGCTAACTGCAAATGAACTGCCATCTACTGAAGCACTGTGAGAAGTCCAATCAGAAGAGAGCCAACCTGATAAATTGATTTTGCCCAGACAGAGGCTCAAAGCTAAGTCAGAAGTGCAGCTGAACAGCTGTCATCAATATCCCAGGCTCAGCAACAACAGGGAACCTACAAAAGTGAAACAAAATATTTGTCAGCCATTGAAGTCTCAGGCGGTTTAGCTCAGTGAAGCATCAAACAAGAATCAAACACAGAATTCCAAGCCAAGTGTCAATGCCAAGGACTGCTAGCTATTAAAAAAAGTCATACTTGAGGCAGTAGCTTAAAAAAAGCAAAGCTCTAAGATAAACAGCTGGTACAGGGCTGAACCTAAAATACCTAAATCAGTTAAAACTGAGATAATGCCAAAAAGACAGAATAGTATGCTCAATTCTCACAGAAAACGTAAGAGATTCCAAACAGGACATGCAGCAATAAACTGCATCAGTTGGAACTGCTGGAAGCGCCAATAAGGAGCTCTTGATAACCACATATAAAAAGGAACGGCCTGGAACATTCTGGGGCCTCAGTGCTCAGTAAGGCAGGGCCCTCAAGTAGGCCTACACATTCCTGAGGGGGTATGTATGTGGGAGGGGTGTCTAATGGATTTGGGAGCTCCCCGGCTTGACTCACAATGATAACACGACACAGAAGTAAAAATCCTCCACAGACATTAACTTTAGAAATGCAAGGAGCTCCTTTCATGCTAAAGGAGGGGACACCAAGTGTGTTTTCATCATCGTGTGTTTTTTTTTTTTTAAAGTTACTGTAGGACAAGTACAGTCAATGGAAACCACTCAATCTAAAGTTTGTACAGGATTTATAAGAACCAGCCCTATGTTCTCAGGTAAAGCAAAGGCTTTCATATGCCATAGACAAACACAAGAGAAATACCTTAAGTACAAAATAAAGCAGTATTAGGTTTGCCCACAGGAACATAATGCAATACTGGATCAGACTAGTGAATCATGTAGCCTAAAATCCCATGGCTTACAGTGGAAAGCACCAGCTCTTTGAGGGGGAAGATTCAAGAAACCCTGCAGAAGGTAGATCTTTACTATACTCTGAATACTCATATTAACCATAAGGAAGTCCAGTCTTACTTGAATCCTGCTGCACTCAACCTCAATTATATACTGTAGCACTAAGTACAAGTAATGCATTGTGAGAGAAGTGTTTCCCTTTATCATTTTCAATTTGCTCCTTTTCAATCTCACTGAAGCATCTCCTTATTCTTCTATTACAACAAAGGATGAATTAGAACTTAATGTTCTACTTTCACCATATACACCTCTACTTCGACATAACACTGTCCTCGGGCGCCAAAAAATCTTACTGCGTTAAAGGTATTATATTGAACTTGCTTTGATCCACTGGAGTGCGCAGCCCTGCCCCACGGGAGCACTGCTTTACCACCTTATATCCGAATTCGTGTTATATCAGGCTAGAGGTGTATTTTTTCTTCCCTTATGTCCCCTTTTTAAAGCAAGCAATCCCACTCTTCTCAGTTTCTTCATATAAGAGTTTGTCTATGCTTGTTAGCACTACTGTGACCATTCTCTGAACACACTATTTCCGCTACTCCCTTTGAAATGGGGAAAAGAGCTGAAGAGATGAGTGTAACATTGATTTATATCATGTCATCACAGTAAAACTTGGGTTAT